TTTTTTTTTTTTTTAATAAATTGTGTGATTCCCTAGAATGTGTCATGAGGGCAGGATTTTTTGATATTTTCTTCACTGTTATGTTTCCCGTGTCTGGCACATAATAAGCTCTCAGAAATATCTGATGTACATATGAATACCAGATTGTCACACAGTTGGTTAGGTAGCAAACTTACACTAGAGCCCAAGCCTTGTAATTTTGCTAGTGCGTCTTCTATTTGGTAAATACCATGGTGGGAAAGAACTCGCTGCATATTTTAGATTGGAATTCTGTTGAAGACGGGCAGACATTTTTGGGCAGTTTAGGCCCATACTATATTATACCTAGTTACATACCTTAGATGTTCTTTGGCAGTATTAATTTTTGAGCTTTGCCAAAATTAAGAAAAGTAGCTTTTGGTACTTAGGAAATATTGTATTTCTTCATATAAGTTTCATATTTTGAAATGTTTATTGAGAAACAGAAATAATTGCTGTGTTTAGTTTTGAATCCTTTTAAATGAAGAATCAAGTGATAACTGCATGTTTCAAGAATTTTATTATACCATATAAATCAAAGTGTCAGCATTGTGGGCTAATATAGCTTTTGTGTATGTAGAAGTGGATTTTAAATTTCTAGTTTATACTTTATTATTAACTGGCTTATTTTAAACTTCATATTCTTGGTTTTTTTCCACAATACTATAGTACTTATTACAACATGATTAAAAAAATAATGTTCTTTGATTTTAAATATGTTTTAGTCTTTTTCTGGGTAATCTATTTTGGGTAGATGAGTGTAGAAAAACTCACATGTGCAGGAAAGACCATAATTGGCTTCCAATAATTATCATGCCTGCCACTGTATAGGAGAGAATGACAATACGTATAGCATATTTAAATTAATTTTGAAGATTGTTTGTCTAGTTGCTTGACCAGAGGTTAGCAAACTACAGCCTGCTGGCCACATCCAACTTGCCACCTGTTTTTATAAATGGTTTCATTGGAACGCAGGCATGCTCATTCATTTCTGTGTTGTTTATGGCTTCTTTCATACGGCAGCAGAGTAGAGTAGTGGTAGTGGAGACTGCAAAGTCTATTTACTCTCTGGCCTTTTACAGGAAAAAAAGTTTGTGTACTACTGTGCTTGAACTGTGGGGAATATTAGAAGGCTTTTGCTGCAAATCCTTTTCCTTTTAAACTGAGCTGTAATTTACACTGAGTGAAATGTGTAAGTCTTAATGGCAGTTCGATAAATTTTGACAAATTTATTCACTAACATTTCCTACACCTAATCAAAAAATAGAATACCATTCCAGAAAGTTCCCTGTTGCCTTTTCCCAGACCCAGTCTAGGCAATTGTTCTGATTGCTATCATCATAGATTAGTTTTACCTGTTTTTGAACCGCATATAAATGGAATTGTAGAGCATAAGCTTTTTGATGTCTGGCTTTTTTTACTCAAGATGATTTTGAGATTCATCTATGTTATTACATGTATCAATAGTTTACTTTTTATTTCTGTAAATATTCCATTATATGAATACATCACAGTGTTAAATATCCATTCTTATGTTGATGAGGTATCTGGGTTCTTTCTTGTTTGGATCTACTATGAATAAAGATTTGAACATTTGTTTATAGTCTTTGGATATATATGTTTCATTTTACTCCGTGCCTAGGAGTAGAATTGTTGGATGATAGGATACGTTGTACGTATGTTTACCTTCTTAAGAAACTTTTCCGAAGTGTAATGCCACTTTACACTCTGACCAGCTTTGTATTAATATTTTAATTCAGGTTGCCTCACATGCTTACTAACTCTTGGTGTTGCCAGTGTTTACTTTTTAGACTGCCTCTTGGGCTAGTATTATCTCATTTTAGTATTCATTTGCATTATTGACCTAATGACTGGTGAATATCACTTCATGTGCTTATTAACCATTCATATATCTTCTGTGAATGTCTGTTAAATATTTTGCTTATTCTTTTAAAGTGGATTTCTTATAATTTATAGTTGAGTCTTTTCATTTTTTGTCAATCTGCTTTGACAGTCTCTTTAATTAGTGTACATAGACCATTCACACTTCAAGTGATGATTAATGTAGTTGGATTAATTTCTACCATATTCATAGCTATTCCATTTATTGCAGTTGTTCTTTCAGTCTTTTTCTTCTTTCTCTGGTTTAAATTGAGTGTTTTATATGATTCCACTTATTTCTCCTCAGCATATTAATCATATTTCTTTAAACGTTTTTAATGGTAGCCTTATACATTTACAATTCACTTAAGTCCACTTTCAAATAATGCTACACTCAGCTTGGCGCCTGTGCTCAGTGAGTAGGGCATCAGCCATATACACCAATGCTGGTGGGTCTGAACCCAAGCCAGGCCTGCTAACCAACAGTGACAACTGCAACCAAAAAATAGCCGAGTATTGTGGTAGGCGCCTGTAGTCCCAGCTACTCGGGAGGCTGAAGCAAGAGAATCACTTAAGCCAAGAGTTTGAGGTTGC